AAAACAAAACCCTTCCCACCAAAACCGAGACCCCTGTACCAAACACTAAGTCCCTGGAGTTCTTCGGAGCAGCCCCTAAACCCTAAACCCCTAAACCCCTTAACCCGAAGACGGGGTCCAGGTCGAGACCGCGTTCCGAGCGGCATCCGGATCCACCGTGAAGGTCTTCTCCTATCGTCGGATGGTTTCGGGTTTAGGGCTTAATACTCTCGTGAGCTCTCAAGCTTCGGGTTGCTTAACACCTGCAAACCTAAACCCTAATTAAACCTCAAGCCCCTATAATAGTTTAGAGCCAGTTTTCTGGAAGTTTTCCTGAGATGCCCATTGAGGCTGGTCAGGGTGACCGGCTTCAGCTGAGGCAAAGGTGGTAGGCTGAAGCCAGGTTTGCGGTAGTTCCGGTTGTTGACGGCCCTGTCGGTTACCCTGTGTGTTCGGGCATTCGAAACCCTAAACCCCAAGCTCTCAACCCTAAACGGACCCTGCCAGATCCAAAGCTGACACTGGTCGCCTTGTCGAGGATCGGTCATCCACCAGTTCCCTTTCCTTCGGGATTTTGTATGCGCATCCCGTAACTGCGGTTGTGCCACGAGTCCTCCGAGACCACTTGGGGTTCCATGCCCACCGGGACCTGGGGCTCTGCCGCAGGACCTGGACCACACCGAGTCCCGGTTTTGCGCTTGGCCTTGGGCTCTGTCTCCTTGGAAGGCTTCGCGCCCGAACTCGCCATGGCCCGTGGCAGCCGTGGCCTGCCTACAAAAAATCCACAACCAACAATCACAACACGTTTGTCAGGTCGCAAATTCAGATCTGTGGACGAGAAGCAAAGCGCATTTGGCAAGTCTACGACTGCTTGGCCAGTCCTACCTTTCCTTCGGAATGCCTCATCAGACTGTCTTCTGAACAAGTAGGATGCTCGTGATTACTCTAAGCTTCCGCTTGCCGTAGCACTACGCATACTGCCGCTCCTTCTGATCTTGCTCCGGATAACCGTCAAACCGAAACAACAAGAAGCAGATGGTAGAATGTGTGGAGATATGTAAGGATCATGTACCAAAAGAGACTCAGTGAGATCAAACACTCCTGAACATGAAAGCCCTCACATTCCCACAACTCCTCAACATTTTAAACTTAATCCGTGTAGGCCCATGAACCCTCAACTCGACTCAACCCTACATCTCAAACCCTGAAGCCTTATATCCTACACCCCAAACCCGAAAACCCTAAACCCTGATATGTCATCCCCAAGCCCTAATTGGAATGGGGTTTAGGGCTTAGGTGTAGTGATATAACAGGAAGCCTAGAGGATGTAGGGTAGAAATAACAGTCCCAAAGCCTGAGCCAGTCTTAAGCTACAAAGCCATCTGGCGGCCTCTCCGTTGCTCCAAACCGTGTGCCCCGCTTGGGTATCGAGAATGGTCCAGTCCTGAAAGATGCAGAACTACAGATCGAGCTTTGCGAGTTCATGGACTACAACCTGCAACTTCGCAAATCCTGCCGACTTGCCCAAGCCCACCAGGTCCTACCGTGAACCTAAACCCTTAACCCAAAAACTCCACGGTATTGATTTGGGAGTTGATGGGCAATTCGCCGGCCTGACTTCAACCTCATAGAGCTTAGTGCTCCGTGCTGAGAGATTGGCTAAAGATTCTGGAAGTGACGTCGGGGTTGCTACGATTTGATGTTTGTAAACGCAGGCCTTTAGGGATGAGGGTGTGGGCGCTAAAAGAGCCCACTAAAACCCTGAACGCGCAAATCTCCAACCTTAAACAGCCCAACCCTAAACCCGGCAAAACTTGGGGCGAGGAGCCCGTCCATCGTTGCTGCCAGCGAAAGTCCATGACACCTGGTAGAACTGCATTGTTCGGGGTTTGGGATTTAGGCCAGCTGCTGTGCCCCATACCTTCACTGAACACTCATGAACCTTAGGGTTCTGCGCCCCCCCAAAATCCTACAAACAGCCAGTGTTGCACAAACTTTCAACCCCTTGCGCAACCCTCAACTCCAAACCTATAAAGTCTAATTCCCTAGCCACCGAAAAACCCATGCCTGGATTCAGGAGTAAACCTGAAACCACATAGGTCTTCTTGTCATCATGGAGTTACTGCTCCTGAATTAGGGGGTATTGGGCTCTTGACTCGGGCAACCCCTGAAGCGTTATCAAAACCATCAACTTTCGGAAATTTGGTTCAGAGTTTAGGGCAAAAGCCATGGAACCTGTTGTATAAATCCTAAACCCTCAAGCCTGCATACCCTACGCCCCCGAAAAAAAAGACGCCATCTTCATCCTGATCTTACTTAAAATTTGCTTAGGATACATAATCATTCCCTAAATGCCTACACCCTCACCCTCCCCAGCACACTCCAGCTCCCTAAACCCTAAACCCTCAACTCAGGCTCTGAGTTTACCGTGCAATCCTCGACCCTGAACCAAGAACACTTGACCCCACGACCAGAATGCGACAAAGAGCTGGTGACCACGAGTTGTCATAGCCATTGAGACCTCGGTCTCGCGACTGACCAGAAAACGAATCCGCTCGAAAGCTAAAAGGGCTGAGGACTTAGGCTGTTGCGAGGGAGAGAAGAACAAAAAAGGTTGAGGGGCATTACACTCAGATTGATGTGGGGGATATCTTAAAGCTTGCGGGGTGCGATAGATAAGACTCATATTCCGAAGCTCTCATGTAACAGGCTTCTCAGTCCGTGGAGCAGATCGCTTTTTGGGCCTGATTGAAGGCTTAAGTCAGGCTGAATTGTTCTTGGAAGAAAGATAGCCAGGGCCCTACACCGTACTTCGCCAGGCTTTTAAGGCCATGTTGACGTGACCCTAAACCCTAAACCCGAACCGCTAAACCTAAACCCGAAACCCTAAACCTCATAGCTTAAGGGTGCTATCTTGAGCAGCAGGATGCGGCTCGGGGCTTGCGGGCCTATTTGGAGCCGGCTTGGTTTGGAGTTTGGCGCTCGTACAAACCTAGACCTTCATCCGTACATCCTGAACTCAAATACTTAGTTAGACACTGAATAAGCCCTTATAGTGACCTTTACCTCTGAACCTTAAGCCAAAACTTTTTACACCCCCACACCCTGCACGATACTCACAGCTCAGTGGCGCTCGATGCGGTAGGAGCCCAAACCAACGGGCTTGTCGAATGTGTACTCCAACCAGCCTCGTGGGGTTTGAGGGTTATATATATATATATATATATATGAAGGTGTGCGTATATATATATATATATCAAATTGCTTATATGCGGGTATGTTTATGTGTCTGTTCATGTATATACGTAGATAGATCGACAGATAGAAAGATAGATAGATAGATAGATAGATAGATAGGTAGATAGGTAGATAGGTAGATAGGTAGATAGGTAGGTAGGTAGGTAGGTAGGTAGGTAGGTAGATAGATAGACAGATAGTCATATAGGTAGATAGACAGATAGGTAGGTAGATAGATAGATAGATAGGTAGATCGTTAGACAAGCAGATGGTCAGTTTATCGACATGCCGATAGACAGAACTATGCTGCTTGAAGGTTCTGCACTGAGGCTCCTACACGACTCTTTTGCTCCACCCGAGTATCTTCAACCGCGTCACGCTGTCGTGCAGCCAGCCCCACGACGGAGTGGATAGAAGCCCCTACACAGTGGGTTATCGTTCTTCAACGGTATATAAGCCTTACAGGTCCTTACATCACCCCTGTATCCCAGCAGTCTACTGCATGGGTGCTGAGCGTCTATAGTTGTGGAAACTGGATTCACATATGTGACCTGCGTCAGCGACCTCGAATCAACTGACACCCTTGACTCCCAAAAGGCTGCAGTCCGAAAGCCTGGACATTACCTGCACAAAAATCTCTAGGCCACTGCAGAACCCCTAAACCCTAAACTCCTAAACCCTCTACAAAAGTCGTCAAGTCTCCAACAACTGCTTCCTTGCTCCCAATATCTGAAGCACCCAGCGGCAAACCACAAACTGGGAGTCTTCGGGCTAGGGCCTAAGGCCTTGAATTTAGAAGTTACCCTAACCCTCCAGGTACCTGCTATAGAGGGAACTAGACCACGCTCAAGACCCTTTTAGTAACCCTTATGGTCGTGTAGCCATCCTTTATCGAAACACTTCCAGTGACCCCTGGCAGGCACAAACTCTAGTACCCATCAAGTAACCCTCTATAAAACAAAAACCTTTCATTGCCCTGAAAGGCGCCGAAAGCTCCCTCTACAAACCTGCGCCGCCAAAGTCCTGCATGATGTAGGGGCCTTAAAAATTGGAATAGGGTTTTGCGGGTTTCTTATTATAAATTATAACTATAGTACAATATACCCCCCAAAAAAAAACTATTCTAATCATTCAGGCCCCTATATTATGGTCTATGCGCCACACCCTAGTAAACACAACAACTTCTTCGTCTAGCGCTCATGAAAACTACTGCGGGTCTACCATGAGGATCCTGGGCTCTAGAAGAGGTTTAGGGTTTTAGAGTTTAGGGTTTAGGGTTTAGGGTTTTAGAGTTTAGGGTTTATGGTTTGGGGTTAAGGGTTCTGTGAGAGATTCTGCACAGGGTAAAGATGGGTAGTTCTCTAGATCCCCTTTTAGGTCCCCCATAAAGTACCGCACCCTTATAAAAAGGACCCTAAACTGTATCCTGATTTAGAGAACTAACCATATGGTGCAAAGCAAGGGTTTTGTGAAAAAGAAGCCGTGGTTTCCCCCTTTCAGTTCCCATGCGATTACAAAACCGAACCCCAAACCCGAGTATAACCATAATTACTTGGGCCCCCTACTCCTACACCCTAAACCCTAAACCCTTAAACCCTTAGCCCCTAAACCTAAACCCTAAACCCTATTACTCCACCAGCGGCCTCCCGGGTGATGTCTTGCGGAGCAATACGCCATATGGTCGTTGTGGGTGATCTCGTTGAAGGCCTGACGTTTGAACACTTATTTCGTATTTAGGGCATCGCCGTTTGAGGATAGAGTTCAGGGAGTAGGGCTTCAGGCTGTGATGCTCCCTGCCACAGTACGTACAGCCCGGCCTTTTACAACCATATTGTCCTGTGCCCTCACCGCTCTTCAAGTTTCAACCCCCCCCTAGACCCTAAATCCTAAACCCTAAACCCTAAACCCTATACCCCAAGCCCTAAGCATAACAAACACCCTGACCCCTGGACCTCGGGCCTTCACCCCTTAACCAAAGACCCGCTGAACCCGAAGCCCTGAATCACTGAACCCCGCAGCTTAGGGTTAAGGTTTAAGGGTTTAGGGTCTAGGGAACCCCGCAGCTTGCCTGCAGAGCATGATGACAACGGGTCTCCAGTTTTACCCTTGCGATTTTCAAGCCCGAAGACTGAACCCTTGAAGGCAGGCGGGCTTCAAAGATCGTTGAACTCTGGGAAAGAATGAATATGAGCCCTCGAAGTACCTTAAACACGGCCCTAAACTAACCTTATGTGTTCGGTTCAAGGGCTGCGCTCTGAATGTTCCTTCCTTTCCCGGGTCTGTCCCTGAAAGCCTGGCAGAATCCGGAGATTCGGGTTAAAGCGTTTGGGTTCGGGAGCAGAGCATACCAGAGCTATTTGTTCCCGTGGGGCGCCGAGGCAACAGACAGAGGCACCGATATTTTCCGCGGGCGCAATGTTAAAATTGTTGTTGGACCTCTCTCTCTATCTATATTATGCACACATATATATGTATACATACATAATTACATACATACATACATACATACATACATACATACATACATACATACATAATATCTATCTATCTCAAGCCCAAGACCTCACTCGTTATGTGTCCCTTACTCCGTCCGCCGAACCTCCAAGCACAAGTGACCTCTAAAACATCCAAAATCCCAAACCCCACCCATCAAAAGATGCAGCCGTAGAAATCACAACTCTGAGCCTCAGAGCAAACGTCAAACAAATCAAAACCCAACGTCGGCATTCAGACATCCGAAACCGCAGACCTCAGTTCAAGAAGTCTCCCTCGTAGTAACCTGGAGTCGCGGGTACCACGGACCAAACCCTAAACCCTAAAACGCAGAACGAACCCTAAATCCTAAACCCGATATGAATCCTAAACCCTAAATCCCTAAACCCTTCTGTAGTCGAAAGAGCTTATTCACAAGAGACATCTTCGGGAGGCCTTGCCGGCACCCCAGGGGCCCGGGTACGTGCTCTGGGCGGTGCCCTTCTGCCTCAGTTGGGTGACAAGGAGATCCTCATAGGGTTTCAGTTTTAGGGTTCAGGCGGTTCTTGCTAACGAATATATAGTTTAACTGACACTTTCTCTTGGTGTAGGGCTTAGATCTAAAGTCGAAGTGCTGGGGATGCCCAGGTACTGTTGCCATTGATGCTTCTCGTCTCGTGGCTTGAACCCTGTCTGAATAGCGCTGACTACGGTCTATGGAAGCCAAAACCACAAACCCTGGAACATATCCCCCTGTGATATTGCCAAGGTGAAGAGTTGGGTATCAAGGTTTAGGGGTCCGGGCGGGAAACATGTTTGCTGTTCAGTCTTTGCACCTTAAGTCTTCTTGTGCATGCGGTCCTCTCCCCCGGTGAACCCTGGGACTTCAGGCCTTTATAGGGGGTTTAGAGGTCAGGGGTTTAGGGTGTAGGGACCCATGTAGGCCCCATAAACCTGAAAATGGCGAGCTGCGGAAAAGTTTGCAACCGGCTACCATCCGCGGCATAGAATTTCAACTCCTGCAGCGTCGCGGCGGGTTAGGATGGGGGGGGGAGCTTATAATATAACTTTTCGCGGTCCAGCGCTTTAGGGGAAATGCCGTCACTTAAACTTCCCTGAACCCTAAGCCCTCTCGAATCCTGAACCTGAACACCTAAAACCTATAAGCCCCCGACCTTCTTAGACTATGAACATCAACACCTCGAGCCCTAGACCCCTAGACCCCTAAACCCTAAACCCTAAATCCTGAACCCTAAACCCTAAACCCCCACACCCAAACCACAAGAATCAATTCAAGCTGAACCAGCTTCCCGAAGCTTCTGTAGTCTCGGCTCTGGTTGCTTTTAGCCTCCGTTTGGCATTCAAGCATCTGGGCTTAGTGTTTAGGCTGTAGGTTTAGGGTGTAGGGTTTAGGGTTTAGGGTTTAGGGTTTAGGGGTTGAGGGTTTTGTGTCAGGATGTGAAGTTTACGGTTTAGGTTATGGCCTTAGGGGGGTCTTTGCCTTCATATGAGTAGTGGATGACTTCAGATCCCATGATTTGGGGTTTCAAGGCGATGCCGATAGTCTCCATTGCAGTTCCTCTTTATGGCTTGGTATATATAACCCACAAAAGGAAATACAAGAGTAGCGGGTATGGCCCCAAACACTCCGTGCATGTATGAAGCCCTGAGCTGCTCCAGCTCAACGCCAATGCTGCCCAGCACTCACGAGCGCGGGCATCTGGGCTTCTGCAGGACTTTAAGTGGTCTCCATGTCAGCCTCATTCTTTGCAGGCTGTCGAACAAACCAGGCGACAGGCCAATGGACACCGA